TATTAGTTATTCCTTGTCAAGTGCTTATGCAAATTCCACATTAACTTAACGGGGCTCTAAAAAGAACAATGCAGAGGGGCCTCTCACATTAGGAAAATATGCAGGCGGAAGGTTTTGCCCTGCCTGACTTAGCTTGCAGGATTCGTGAAGCCACCGTGTATTCTGCATATAGATAGAGAGGAGGAGGACTCCTTCTCATCATAATGAGCCTTGGGAAGGAGTAAAGACCAGGAGGCCTTTTGCACCTTGTTTTCCTTCTGGACCACTGCCACATGACTAGTATTGCCTTTGTCTTCACCAGTGTGTAGGCCCTGAGGTGTTAAGAAAGTCCCTCAAGCCCCAAGGGGAGGCCATGTAGCTCTGTGTTTGAGTACATGCCTAGCATGTGTGAGGCTCTAGACTCAATCCCTCTTCTCCTCTCCCTCCTCCCTCTCTTTTCCTCTTCCCTCTCCCTCCTTCCCTTTAACCCCCTCTTCCCTCCTTCCTCTTCTCATCTCTCCCCTCCTCATAATTCCTCTCCCCTCCCGTCCCTCTTTTTCTTTTGCTAGGGAGCCAACCAGGGCCCCTACCTTACTAGTAGAACAGGGTTTTCTAAGGCAAAGTCTAGCTTTTATACAGTAGGGTTCTGAGGGTCCTTGGAGAAACTGATTTCTAACATATCAGTAATCTGATCTTGACCCCTTTGTAGTGTTATCTCATCCATGCTTAGCCCTCTTCAGGGTTCACATGTCTTAGGAGACTATAAACTTCATCTGGTCCACAAGCCTTGCATGAGGTAGTGCTGGCAACTCCTATGCCATGTGTCCCTTCTCATCTCTGGTCCTTCCTGCATTCTCCCAGCCTTTCTTTGGGAACTATTTTTTCTCAGCTGGGTGAACTCTTACTTTCCCTTTATATCAATTCTATAGAACAATCTTCCACGGGCAGGATTGCTCCACTATCTACACAGGGCCTTGATTCTAACAGCTTCCATCTCCTGGCTCAATTCCCCATGTTCTTGACTTTCCTCATTTCCCCTGCCCTGTAACAGACCCAAACAACTCTTTCAACCCCCCTGTGTGGCCAGGAAGAATCCAGCCTTATCCTTTCCTCCTACATGATGCTGGTCATTCTTCCATGAACCACAATCTTCAATGGCTTCCCTTTGTTCTCAGGATCAAACCTTTGCCATTGTCATGGCATTCAAGACCTTGCCTGACCTTGCCATAGGACAAGAGGCGAGATGAAGTGTGTTGTGGAGACTCTGAGGACAATTTGCTTGCAAGCGGAAAATAGAGGGTGCAGGCTCCATTTTCAGAGCCTCTGTTCATTTATGGGGTATGCTCTGCCAGTTCCCATATATCGGGGTCCTCATGGGCTAAAGGCTCAAATATGTGTCAATTTTGCCTGGTAGTTTTCTATTTCTTTTTCAATTTGTGGAGCAGTAGGCTTTTGAATTTTTAATTTTGTGTAGCAAGCACTTTAAACAAAACACTACTATGTCCCATGAAATAAAGGACTTTTGTACAGCAAGAAAGTTCACAATTGCAGAATAAAGGTCAGTCCCCTGGGGTTTGGGGCTTCTTTTTCCTTCTCTGCACAGAACTGGACAGAACCTTGAGCCATGGAGGAGGGGACTCAATGGGAAGCTAGGTTGATGGACAGGACCTTCCTTTCCTAAGGCTCCTTTTTCTTGTGCTCTCTCTCTCTCTCTCTCTCTCTCTCTCTCTCTCTCTCTCTCTCTCTCTCTCTCTCTCTCTCTCTCCCCTGTGTGTGTGTGTGTGTTCAGTAAGGCCCCTATAGGCATTAGGGCTCAAGGCTGAGGGAGGATAGCAGAAACTCATGGGAGGCAGCTAAAGCCTTGAGCACTGACTGAGTCCGTTTGGTTTCCTGGAGATAAAGGGTAACCCCAAGTTGGACTAGGAAGCCTTCATTTTGCTGACCTTCTGCTAGTTTCCAAGTGTTACTAGTGGCAGGGGCGAGACATCACGGAAGGACAAGATTTTACTATTGTGTTGTTTGTCTTGCTTTACTTTGTTTTTTTTTTGTTTGTTTTCTTTTTATTTTACATATCCATCCCACTTCCCTCTCCCTCCTTCTTTCCCTCTTACCCACCCTCTCATGTCCCTGACCACCCTCCCCTCCCATCCCCCCCACTCCACATGTAGGGTGATGCCTTCCAGGAAGGATCATCTAAATCTGTCAAGTCATTTGGAGTAGGGACTAGGCCCTCCCTCCTGCCTCTAGGCTAAGGCAGTTATCCCTCCATGGAGAATGTGCCCCAAAAGTCCTTTATGCACCAGGGATACATCCTGGTTCCACTGTCAGAGGTCCCTTAGACTGCCCAGGCCTTCTAACTGAGACCCATGTTCAGAGAATCTGAGTCGGTCCAATTCTGGTTTCCCAGCTATCGGTCTGAAGGTCCATTAGCTCTTCCTTGTTCAGGTCAGCTGTCTCTGTGTGTTTCTGTAACCTGGTCTTGTCCTCCCTCTCTGCATATGGATTCCAGTTGGGCTCAGTGTTTAGCTGTGGCTGTCTGCTTCTGTTTCCATCAGCTACTAAATGAGGGCTCCATGATGGTGGACAAGTTAGTATGTTTTCCTATATAGCACTAGTTGGCTTTAATATTATGGCAATTCTCCTGCCTCAGCCTCCTGAGTGCTGAAATTTAAGGGATGAGCCACAACTGTCAGGAAAATGAGATTTCAACATGGACAGTAGTGCTTTGTTGCAGAGGATGAGTCAAAGTGGGTAGCCTGTTGGGGGAGTGGGCAAGAAGGCACAGAATCAGTGGTGTCAGAGTCCTGGTTGGTAGATGCCACCCACTAAGGCTACTTTTGGCCATGGGTGAAGGCAGCTGCCGTGAAAAAGTGGCTGACATATAGACCCAAGGCTGAATATTTTCTGAGGAGGGTTTTGCAGCTGTTTATTTGGGAAGCAATAGAACGTCACAGTCTTGGCAAAATGCTGAAGCTCAGGGCTCCCAGGACATCGCTGTTCACTTCTTTCCCCCAGGAGCCTAAAGCTGGGCCGTGACTGAACATCAGACTGACCCCCTCCGGAAAGTCACTAGGGTCACTAACAATGTTCTCAGCATATTCAGGACAAAGGCTGTGCACCTAGGATGGCCTGCTGGCTCTTGTGGATAATGACAAACTTTTCTGTCTTGTGAGAAAAGGTCGGCATTTTAGGAGTGGAGCTTGAAGAGCTAATTGCTTTTTCCACTTAGTGGCAATATTCAGGGCATGAGAAGTTTAGGGAGGAGCTAGATGTTCAGGGTGAGAAGAAGGGAGTCAGACATTGTCCCAGAATTCAGATGCATTGGTAATAAGGAGATTGTGTGTAGAAGACAGGACAAGTATCATGACTTGTAAGTGTTGGACTTGCTGTATGTAAATCAGTTTCATGTTCAATCCCAACTGAACGATTCACCAGGCCTCTCAGATTCACATTAACCCCACTTATAAGAGACTGAGATACACAGTAGGCCCCAGATCCATCATCTTACAAAGGTAGAGTTATCTCGTAGCCTTATTCAGGCATTTTGATGGACAAGGTTTTTTGTTTATTCGGTGTCATTTGATGTATTATAACAACATTCTTTGCACTTGGTTCTTGCTCATACCACTTTGTGTGTTTGTGTTTCTAAGTCCCATATTTTATTTGGTGCAGTGGATAGAAGTGGGGAGGGAGGGAGAGAGAGAGAGAGAGAGAAAGGAAGAGTGAGTGAAAGACAGGGAGAGGGAGAGAGAGGGAGGGAGGGAGAGGGAGAGAGAGAGCAAGTGAGAGAGGGAAAGGGAGAGGGAGACAGAGGGAGAAGGAGGGAGAGGGAGAGGGAGAGGGAGACAGAGGGAGAGAGAGGAAGAGAGAGGGAGGGAGGGAGGGAGGGAGAGGGAGAGAGACAGAGAGAGCGAGTGAGAGAGAGGGAGACACAGGGAGAAGGAGAGAGAGAGAGAGAGAGAGAGAGAGAGAGAGAGAGAGAGAGAGAGAGAGAGAGAGAGAGAGAGAGAGAGAGAGAGAGCACATGTGTTGCTTCTGCCCAGGAACACTAGGAATGGCATTAGGAGCCATCCTTAGAAGTGACTGAAGACAGAGGCATGGGCAGGCTCCAAGCTGACACAGTGAACAGTAACTAACTCATTCTTTGTTCTGAGAGCTGGCTGTAGCCAGGCTCTTCTTGGGAGCTTTCTCTGCCAGGCTGCAGTAAGATTTTGGTTGTCGCAGCAGTGAGGGTGCCTGCATTCTTGCCACCAGGGAGGTGGACTCCATTTGCGGAGATTCATGGGAAAATACTGCAGCGCGTTTGTTGGTTCCGGGGCATATTTTTTTCTGATCGATCGAGCGGCTGTGACCTTTCGCGGTACTAACCCTGTCTCTAACCCAAACCTCGGCAACTATTCCTTAGAGCGTTGGCTCTGGATTGAGCCCACCTTCCTTGTTCCCGCAGTGGTGGTGTCTCTGGCTTCCACCTGGTTCCCAGCAGCTACACAAACAGTGCAGTTCTTTAGTCTGGGGCAACGGATTTTGCTGCAGCAGTCAAAGCAGCGAGCTGCGAGCGAGGCCAAGGCACTGGAGAGCCTTATGGCTGGGAGCACTGAACTAGAGAGGCAGTTGCGGACCAAGGTTACGGGCTGGCAGCACCCAAGCTCTGGGCCAGAGTCTGTAGTGGCCTCGCGGGAGACCATTCCTGAGCACCGTCTCCACTGCTGCTACCCACCCCCTGGCCTACGCTGACGCACAATTAGGGGCTCACAGGCCACTTCTGACATTTTCCTAGCAAGGATAGGGTGGTAAGGGGTCTGCGGCAGCGATTAGGCATGCCACCCAATCCAGATCGTGCGACCTAATGGTGTCTGTGAGCCCCGCCCGCGCCCTCTCCCCATGCCCCGCCTCCAGACTGCGGCTGAGTCCCAGACAGGGCAGTGTCGCCCAGTCTCCTGCCGTGGGCCCTGAGAGGTCGTCCCCTCCCCCAGTGCGGGTATTAGGGCGGCGCGCCTGTCATCTGTCCTTCCCAGCCTGGCTCGGGCGCCAGCTCTGGGCGGGGCCCTGCGGTTGTGACAGGCTCCTCCTCCCTAGCTCCTCCCCCCACCCCCGGGCGGGCCCTCATGCACTAACTGTGCTCCTCCGGGCCCCTGCGCCTTCTCCCAGCCATGGTGGCCTGGCACACCGCTTTCCTCGTTTGCTTCGTTTTCTCCTTGGCCACCCTGGTCCAGAGAGGTAAGGTGGGCGCGTGTTGGGGCACCCAGGGACCCCGCCCTGTGGCCTGGGGGTTGCTCTGCGCATGAGCGGCCCTGCCCCCGCCTGGCCGGCCTGAAGTGGGGGTTTCAGGCAATCTAGCTGGTCTGAGGCCTAGGGGTGAGGGTCTGAGGCTTCAAGGACTGAACCCACAGTGAATTGTATAGTCAAAGATGTGTGATGGGACCCTTATAATGCTGGTCTTGAAACACTAGGATGTTAAAATCCTGACCAAGCAGATGCCACCATTGGTGACAACAGCTGTCCCCAGCAGTATACCTTGGGAAAACCTTGGAAAAAGCAGTCATTTTGAAAATTGGCTATGGGGCCACCTGCAGCAAAAGCATCTGGAGAGCTTCCCAGGCGACTTCCTGGCCAGTTTCATCAGGATCTCGGTGGGGTTGGAGCAGGGACAAAGCAAAAATGGGGTGCGTGGGGAGGGGTGCAACTTATAGGTCTTATTAGCTCCCTACATGCTTTTGGTGTCCCTACACTGGTAGAGAATTAGGTCGTATCTTCTGGTAGAGATGGACACAGAAATTGTGCTGAATCAAGGGAACAAGTTTCTTTCACCTTATGCAACTCAATTTGTGCACCAGGCCCAGACACCTGGGCATCACCTGGGGTCTTGTTAAAAATGCAGTATCTCACACCGTGCCCCTGACATACTGAGTCAGATTCAGTGTTTTATTTAGCGTAATAACCAGATCCTAGGGTAATTTGCAGGCACATTCAAGGCTGAGTAGCATATTCTTATGATAAATACAGTCTGTGCTTGGAAATAAGATCTTAAACATGTGCCAGCAGAGTCTTCCTACAATTATTTATGTCCCATCTCTACATCACATAAACAAAGAAACAAACAAAACCAAAACAAAACCAAAACAAACAAACAAATCACCAAACTGGCTTCACGAAAACACAGTAATTGTAACTGAGCAGGAATTGTGCCTGGAGTTTTCTGAAAATGAAGGCAAATCTAACCATGGAAAACATAAGCTTCAGCAGACAAAAGTTGGTTGTAGCACTGCCTTCTAGTGAGGTTTATGTCACATATAAGAAACACTGGCAAAGAGGAGAACTCCTAGCCCAGAACTTATGCAAAAGATGCAGAAATGGTTAAGGACAACACTACAGTAGTTGCTACAAGAAGAATCTTGTACAAAGGCATGACCAGTCTGGGTTCTAGGAACTGGTGATGTAGAGGGTGAAGAAAGCCAAGACTCGCAATAGAGGGAGAAAAACCAACACAAGCATCAGACCTATGTGATAAACTGCTATGGAGAGAAGAAAGCAAACAGTCACAGGGGGTAAAATTTTTATTGTCTATTGGGCTTTTGTAGAGAAAAGTATCCAGGATCCCACTGTATCCTTAAGGGTTGTGTTCCAAACACTGTAGGAGATGCTTGAGACTATAAATACGTTTTTTTTTTTCCCCTTGCTGGAATTGGAACAAGAAAGCATGTGCATGCTAGATAATTGCAATTTATGGCATGGAGGTTTTGAAACTGGACTTATAAATGGCCAAGTCTTAGGTTTTCCTGCTTTGAGTTCAGAGATTGAGGAAGCTGGTAGAGGTGAAGTCATACAGTGATTAATTGGCAGCTAGGGTTTGCTCCCAGGCTTCTATTACTCTACAGTAGCCATCTTAAAACACTGGGCATAATTCATTTAGACCTGGAAGATGCCCACTTCTAACCTTCAATGGCTTCCTGTAAACAAGTTTTCTAAACCTGTTCAGTCAGTCCATATAATGACTAACAACCACAAAGGTGTCTTTGACCCAGGAATGTGTCCCTTAGATCAGCTATAATTTCCTGGGTGCTTTCTGTGAGTCATGTATAAAATATTTCTTCCTGTCTCCCTTTTTTTTTTTTTAAAGATGGGGACTCATATAACCCAATTTGACTACTTCAAGTTTGCTATGTATCGAAAAGTGGTCCTGAACTCCTGATCTTCCTGCCTCTGCTTCCTGAGATTCAGGCTTACATTTCTGATTCTTTTGGCTCTATTTCCTGAAACCTGGGCTGACACTTATATGCCATAATACCTAGCATGTATCTTGTTTCAAATCGCCACAATTGTTTAGGTTAAGTATTATCCTTCAAGTAAGGGGACTGTGGTCAGGTATCAGAAGAAATAGCCATGGTTTAACCCAGATAAGAGTGCCATCCTGTGATCCTTTTGTTTTGTTTGTCCTAAGAATACTGAATAGGAAGTAGCTTTGTTTTGGTGGTAGGGACTCACTTTTTTCTGTAGTGGGGTCCACAGAGCTTTGCGAATGTCCCTTTATTCTTGGTCCTGGTCATCAGTAATGGATTGTGCCTGAGCAAACTCTGCAGGCCTGCAAAAGGTCCCAGAAGCATATCTGGGGACAAGGTGCAAATTCCCTCCATGCTCTAGAAAGTAGACACAGGTTTTAGCTCCCCAGAGTTGAAAGGGCGTTTAAGAAGTCACTATCTGCTGGGTTGTGGTGGCACACATCTTTAATCCCAGCACTCAGGAGATAGAGGCAGGCGGATCTCTGAGAGTTCAAGACCAGCCTGGTTTACAGAGTGATTTCCAAGACAGCCAGGGCTACACAGAGAAACCTTGTCTGGAAAATACCACCCCGGACACACAAAACAGTCACATTCTCTAGAGAAAAGGACAATTAACTTAAATGTGTTTCTTACTGCTTCTGAAACATCTTCTGAGGACAGGTGTATCATCTGAAGGTGCCCAGAGAGTGGGAAGCTGTTTTTCTGGGCACCAGGAAGAAGGACCTCAGCTGTGTGTGTAGGTAAGAGTCAAACACATTCATGTACCAACCCAGGAAGGTAGACACTGTGACCTTCTCTGCCCCTAGACATACATAGTGACCTGTTGCAGTCTTGAAAGACAATGGACAAGTGAGGACAATATGCAACTCATACTGCTTTGCAATTCCATATCACTGCTGTCAGGATCATCCAATCAATAAATAGACAGCTCACAAAGGAAGAAGTATAAATGGTTAATAAGTACTTGAGGAACTTTTCAATATCCTGAGTCTTAAGGGAAGTGTGAATTAAAATTACTTGAGGTTGCAATGGTGCTGATGAGGATGCGCACTAAGGCCTTAGTCACCACTGATGGGGATGTGCACTGGTGCATCCACTGTGAAAATCAGTATGAGGTTCCTCGAAATCTGCAAATAGAATTCCAATATGATTCAGTTCTGCCACTCCTGGGCATATAACCAAAGAACCTTAAGTTAACAGACCACAAAGATATCTTCATAGCCATGGTTGTTGCTATACTACTCCCAATAGCCAGAATATGGAACCAGCTTAGATGTCCAGCAACTTACAAGAGTCTAATGAAAATGTGGTATATGTGCACAATGAAGTTTTAAAACAATTTAAAACTATTATTATTATCATCATCATCATTATTGTTTTCATTGTTGTGTGTATGTGGGGATGAGGGGGCACACATGCCACAGTGCACATGTGGAAGTTAGAGGACAACTTTCTTTAGTTGATTCTCTTCTTCCACTATGTAGGTTCCAGGGATAAAATTCAGATCATCAGGCTTGATGGTAGGTAAGTGTTTCTACCTAGTGAAACATCTTATCAGCCCCACAATGGAGTTTTATTTATCCATGAACAAGAAAAATTTATATTCCTTGCTGGAAAATGGGTAGAACTGGTGATCATCATGTTAAGCAAAATAAGCCACTGAGAAAGACAAGTACCCAAATGTTTTCTCTCATATGCTGAGTCTACATATGGATGCATGCACATATTTATATTTATATCGCGTGAAGATAAACTACGACTGTTGGGAAGAGGTAGGGGAATAGTAATGTGGCAAGAAGAAGAGAAGGTAATGGGGAAAAGATAAATCACATTTTTCTCGGATGTGGTCTATATGACCTCAAAGCAAGAAGGAGGCCGAAGGGAAAAGAAGAGAAGGTAATGGGGATCGGGGAGAGTGCACACGACGGAAGTACAACAGTATATGTATGAAAATGCTATAAGGAAAGCCACAACTTTGTATGTTAATTTAAAAGATGAAATACAAGTAGCAATAACCACTTCCTACATGGAAATTGTGAAGCTCCAGAGGGTTTAGGAACCTTTTGGTGAGTTTCTTCAATTGTATCATGGGGATAATGGTCCTTTCCTCCTGGTGTGGCAGTTATTAGGATTAAATGTGTTTAAGTGTCTAAAGTGCTCAGAATAGGACCTGCCTTCCAGGGAGTCCCTTTCTGGTTCGTACATATTAATCCTACTTCTTAGATGTTTTAAGCCACACTTGAAATATACACCTTGCAAATATTGACAGCATTGTTAATATGACATATTCAGAGATTGCACATCTGTACAAACAAAATACTAGATCTGTGGTTACTAGGGATTAGGACAAGGAGATGGGAAATGACTGCTTAAAGGATAAAGGCTTTGGGGAGTGATGAACATGTTCTAGAAATAGAGAAAAGTGATACATGTACAAGCTAAAAAATACTATAAAAACCACTGTGACTGTGTAGTATGTGACTTATGTATTCATTTAAAATAATTCACAAGGGCTGGAGGTGTAGCTCATTGGTAGAGCACGTGTTTAACATGTGCAAGGCCCTAGGTTCCATTCTCAGTACCTCAAAATGAAAGAATGGCTAAATAAAAAATTTTAAAAAGTCTTAAAAATAAGATGGATGTGGTGGCCCATGTCTGTAATCCCAGCATTTGAGAGGATGAAATAGGAAGATTGCTGTAAGTTTGAGAGCAGTCTGGACTACATGTGAGTTCCAGGCTAGCCTGGGTTATAGCCAACCAAAGTCAATGCAAACCAAAACACAACACCACACTAAGAGAAAACAAATGATCTTCTAATTATGCCAGGTATGGTGGCACATGCCTATTAATCTCAGTGTTCCAGAAGCTGAGGCAGGAGGATCTTGAGTTTGGGGCCAGCCTTCTACCTCAGCAAACAACCAGAAGTAGGTGCACATGATT